AAATTTTCTCGTTATTTTCATCAATTGTCTCATTAATTATATTGTTAAAAAAAGGACATCAACTTTCACATCATGTATTTCAATTGTAAATTTTAGCGAATCTTGATGTTATCTTTCAAATTCTGAGATTTTTGTTTACCAATATGTGTCTGATTGTACTGGTTTTGTAGTAGTTTGGGTTTTTCAGACATATGCTTAGGATGCCACAGTATTGTACATTGATTATACTAGCTTTTCGAAAGAAAATTAAATAGTTCATACATATTATTGGAAAGAGAAGAGAGAATTTATACATATCGAAAAGATTAATCTAAAATGTCTGTCTGTTTCATAAAGATATTATAAGTTTTGAACGTACTGCCTATATTAAGTTATGTAGCAATCGAAAAAATTAGTTAGAGATTCGCTTACGACCACGTCATCTTTCAATTGACGGTCACAAGTTCTAAGGAAATCTAGTGTAATTTATTCTATATTATAATACCCTTTTAATAGTAAAGAAAGATAGCGTCTCTAATCTGATCTGCACTTCACTACCTGTGTACATTTTTGAACTATTCATCTTTCTGTATCATCCGAGGGGAAACAGCAGAGACTTCATGCATGAAGTCTTCTGTTTCCCTTAGGTATCATCTTATTAAAAGTAAAGTTTTCTCACTGTAGTAAATAATGACACGCTATCAAAAATAAAACAACAAATACTTTTTTCGAACATAATTTATAATTTGAATATACAAAATCGCTCAACAAATGATAAAGGCATTGATAGTTGTAGTCTTTAGGAAAGACAACAACTTTTTCAAATATTCGTTAGCGACATGGCGGCAAAAATCGGTGGTTTTGAGATGAAATTTTTTGTCAGAGAACAAATTGCTTTTATTTCGTTTAAAGACGACAAGATAAAGCATTCAAGGAAGTTTTGATTTGCAAGAGAAAAATTATTTCAAGCTTCTTCTTGATAAAAAAAATGATTGCATTTTCTAACAGAAAAACATTATTTTTTATGATGTATTAGCACTTCCAGTACCTAAGATTTTCCTATTATTTAGAACGATCCAAAGTAAAATCAAACATCAATTCGATAAACTAGAGACTACAGAGTAACATTCGATTTCACCTTCGTAGTTCTGCTTTAAGCTAATTTTTTCTTCTGCATACATTTTATATATATCACAGTAGCATGCAAACAAGAGAAAAGGAGGAAAACTCAAACACGTTTTCAGTGGATAAATATTTTTTCTAAAGACAAAAAGAGTTTAGACTATGTTGTTATGAGAAACAATGATTAAATTTATTTAGGATTATTAAAGAATACAATTTGTTTTTATTTATTGGATGAATACAATGTTTTGTTCTTCACCAATCCTATCTCGCATATACATGAATCTCAACTGTTTGAATCATTTTTACATTGAGGATGTAGGTATGTCATGGACATAATACTCGTACTTATACCGTCTATCTTGAGATCTAATGGCTCACATTGAGTCATCGAATTTGTCGTTAATTTATTCTCATGTATTAATTATCTATTTTATATAGAAGAGACTTGCAGCTGCTCAATTAAAAAATATTTCTTTTTATAAGTTCTTTTTTAATTGGAACGTGATCTCTAATCGTATAGATCATTGATATCTTTTTTTTTATTTATAAATTCTTTTTTCTATATCATATTGATTTTATTATGAGATCCTTAAAAAGATAGAAAAATGATTTTATAGGCTGTATACACAACTTGATACAGATCTATTGAATAGTAGGACATCTAAAATATTGCAATGCATGAGATTTGTATTCTAAAAGATATGCAATCACTTATATGAGCATTTAAATATTGCGTTTTCTAACTTCTAATGAGTATATATAAAGAAATTATGCTTTATGATACCATTATTGATTCTATTTTCAAGTAACACTTCATATTTAAGATTAGAATTGTTTATTTGTTGGAAAAAAATCAAATATCTTGTAGTTATGTTTTAAAAGAATATTTTTTTTTCAATAAAACATATTAGAAAAAAGAAAAGACGTCATCAACTCAATTAAATAGTTTTTCTAATATAATCATACAGATGTTGTTTTCTAATCAGAAGAAGTTAATTTTTTGTTGTCGTCATTATTCTACTCAAATGCACTTTTTTTGTGAACCAACGTACTGTTTGCTCTTGTAATTATAACAGTGCCTAGATGATTCACAAGCTGTCTATTATTTTTTTGAAGAAAAATCGAAAAACCTTTCCAGCTAATTTTGTTTCTTATTCTGCACACATAATAAATTATAGCAACATAAAAATGAAAGAAAAAAAAGATATGCTACACAGAACAGAGAGAAAAAGAAAAAAAAAGTATTTTATTCTGAGTTAAATTCATTTCATCAACTGGCAATCCCGGGAGTAATGGCTTCTAGAAGAATTTGTCTATGGCTTTTATTTGTAATTATTACACAATCAATTGCAGAAGATACACGATCAGTTCTAATGTCTTTGATGCGTGATATGAAATTTGAATGCGCTAATACAACCTGTTTACCGTTCATTAATATTATCACAAGAAATATTTTCAATTGTCAAACAGCTTGTTTAGCTGAAATTCGATGTAGAGCAGCGAGTTTCCATCGATCGACGTCTAATTGTGAATTGTTTGATGATATGCTGAACCAAAATGAAAATATGGTATTTGATGCAGATACGATTAGTATGAATGTGATTGCTGAAACACGAATTCCATCTGGTTTGTATGCACATAATAAATCTAGAAAAAATTATTCGAAATGTATCGATAAATAAATAGTTGAGAGACATCGTCATTTTCTTTACTGACATGCCAATGATAGAGCTTCCTACAATCGACGTTTTTATACATTGTCTGAACTAAAATAAATTATAAACTATTTGTACATTGGAATGGAGTTGCTGTAGCTGTGTGTATTTATTTCTCTATCATCCATACCTTCGCGCCTTATGTATCCTATATAAATAATAATTAAGATAAACTTTATCTTTCACTTCTCCTAAGTTAAGCAGGCTTTGAAATCGCGTAATTTTTTTCAACCCTTGGGGTCCTGAATATCCGGCTCTTTACTACTGAAATTTAGCCACTGACAGAACAATTTTCGTTCTAATACTTGTCGACACAGACATTTACGGGAAAATATACAGAATAAAACTTCATGAGACATACTATCATATTATTAAAAACATATCCACCTTTTTTCGGACGGTGGACTTTTGAGATGCCTTGTAATAGTTAGAGAAGAAGACGTAAGAAATTTGGAGTAAACTTGTATCCAATCGTTTAGCCTATTTCTAAACTTATCTTTGTAAAATAGAACCGACTACAACAACAACATCAATCGCATCGACAATAACAACATCAATCTCAGCAGCAACAACAACAACAACAACAACATTAACCGCATCAGCAACAACATCAACAACAACTTCAACAATAACTTCAACATCAACAACAACTTCATCAACATCCACAACAACATCATCAACATCCTCAACAACTTCAACATCCACAACATCGTCAACATCCACAACAACTTCAACATCAAC